TCTAGATCATTGTTTGTTTGTAGCTCATGGATGATTGGATGGTAACGGAGCTGCACACGGCCTGCAGATTGAAGTGAAGCCTGACCTCTGCAGTGATCGTTCAGCGTTCTAGTACAGTCGTGACTCGATAATCCGACACTAAATGTAAAACCTTCTTTTATGTCGGATAGCAAGGCTGTCGGATTGTCCAGACGGAGGTCCAGATACGAGGAGGGCTTGATGCTGGAAGGCTCATTAGTTGTTCATTATTGTTCATAGTTGTTATAATAACTAGTGTGTTGTTAGAACACTACGCATCGCTGGATATCAGCCTCACTGACCGGTGCGCTTGCGTATGCTCCGGTCACTTCCACCCCGGGGCAGCGCTCTGACGGGGTGGAAGTGTCCAGAACACACAGGCAGTACTTGGCTGCTGATGCTAGTTTAGTTAGCGCTCACACTTCTGTTTCCTCCATCGGTGGCGGCGGGGGAGTGGCAGATACGCTCCACCGTTACCATCCATGTTTACTTCCATAAACACTGAGCACGCTCGCTGCGTGTGACGTCGTCGTGTCCTCTTCTGCGCATGCGGGACACTTTTGGCTCGTATGAAGTTCCCACAGCAGATCACATACAAGTCGCATTGAAGTGGAAACGTGAAGGAAGTCACAAAGAAATCCTCATTGAGCATCAAGTCCTGCAGTGTGAACGTAGCCAATCTGTGGGATTGTTCAGTCAGATAATACGCCGTCATCCTGATTGGTGACATTAAATGTCATGTCGGAGTCACAATCCAAGGCTGTCGCTATGTTAAGGCTGTTTTTATGGGTTCTGTTTGTTTTTCCTAAAAACCTGTCGGATAGCAGGTTTAGGATTGTTAAGGGTCAGATTATGGAGTCATGACTGTATTTGGTGAAAACGGATTGAGTGCAGTATAGAAAGTTTGCTGATAAGTGTGTCAAGCGGAGCTCCTATAAGGATCTTTAATCTATTTGTGTCGCTCAGATGTTATGCACCACATTTGTGAGGGATTACAAAGATAAACCTGGAAAGCTAAAAATAAGTGTAAAGAGATCCTCTACCTATATCGGTGCTACTATGTCAAGGTTTTACCTCGTGTTTTAGGGGCAGTGCTAATCCTACAGTCTAAAGTCTCTCACCTGATGTAAGAACATGCTGTCGGTTGTTCATCTTCATACTTTAGGTTTTATCCAGTTTGTGTGGCGATCACAGTAGAAGCACAAATAAATGTGGATCAAATGGCAGCTGCGTAGCACATAATGTGATTTTAGTAACCACAAGATGATTTAAAGTTAATCTTTCAAATTACCAATTTAAAGTAATTTGTGCTGTGTTAGATAGACAGAGAGAGACAAACTTTCACAGACTATCGTAGCATACCTTGACATTCGGCGCTATGCTTCAAAACGCTGGAGTCGCTTTAATTAGTTTCTCTGATCTGAATGAAAATGGTTCAGAAAATAGGGCTCGGTTCAAGAGGTTCGTCTGCAGTGCTTCTGAATGGATTGATGTCGCAGACAACAAAGTGAAACATGAATGGTTTACTGATGTCTCGGATGGCGTAATAGACGGGGGCTCAGCCGGTTCAGTCAGCCGGGCCATCATGTAAATACAACCTCTGAACATCACCGGTCAAAGCCTTTGTAGAGAGCATCCATCCATCCATCCATCCATCCATCCATCCATCCATCCATCCATCCGTCCGTCCGTCCGTCCGTCCGTCCGTCCGTCCATCCATCCATCCATCCATCCATCCATCCATCCATCCATCCATCCTATTAGTTTGTTATTCATCACTGGCTGCTCTTAGAGTAACTGTCCAATGCTCCATGTGTGGTTTTTGACAACCATTTTTTCAGTCTGATTTTCCATATTTTCAGGTGTTTGACTTCAACACAACTTGTTCTGAAGTGAAATTTCAGCTACTAGAAAAACACACATTATGCTCAAGTATTATACGTTGGTGAGCAACTTACATTTTTACTCTGTGAACTAAATTCAGTTTCAACTACAGGGTCGGGCTCTCTTAAAAATGGATGAAATTAAATCTTAAAGAATAATTTGTAATGAATATTTACCCCCCAGCTCAGTTATTTCCAGGTTTTTGAAGTTTTTAACATTTTTTATTAGCGGTTCTTTAATTTGCTGCTCTGTAGAAAATACAATCAAACATAAGCTTTATAGAGACTTCATGGTGCTCATGATGCTCATATCACGTAGTCAGTGTTGGTTGTGATGAAGAAAACTGGTGAGACAGCAAACATAAGGACAGATTTGGATCATTATGATTCACTATTTGCTGCCATTCATGTTTACATAATTCTGTTTATCTATAAAACTCACTCTTTGCCCTTTTCTGTTTCCGTTTATCAAAGACATCTTTGTGTAATCTGACTGACGGTGGAGTTGTCCTGTTCCAGCACAGAGCGTACATCGGAGGGAGATGATCACATGAAAATCACTCCACTTTTTAATCAGATAAATGAAACAGAGGAGCAGTCTGCAGCGTTTGCAGCCAGACACACAAGCGCGTCTTTATTTTCAGACCGCATTGACCCATATTTTACTGTCAGCATTTCAAAAGACTAATTTATAATCTGGCAGTCATGGGACACTCTGATATTTGCCTGGAAAGTCAAATTTAGCCCGGTTTCATAATGCGTGCGACTTGATGCAGCGCCTGCAGTGATTTATGTGAGGAGCCTGAAGTTTGGGCTCAGCGTAGTTGAGAGGGACCGCTTTCATATGGGCCAAACATGTGTGAGGCTTTAGAGGCAACTTAAGTAGGCTTGAGCTATTTGTAGTTTATGGCTGACAAAAAAAAAACAACTTGAGCGTTGTCCTGAGGGGACAATGGGAAGCGATCGACGCTGTGCACAGCTGCTGACACTCGAGTAGCGGCGGCAGCAACACGGACACGGTGTGAGACCTGAGCCGGATGTACTGTACACGAGTGTTCCATTGTAATTACATCAGATTTAACTGGATTAGCATGCTACCATTCTCAGATGTGCGGATTAGCATGGTAGCATATTCCTAGAAGACGTGTAATAGATAACAGGTATCGGAAGTGGAGGAAGTCACGGTGCAGTAATCAGCCGTGCGTGGCTGCAGATCTGTGTGTGGCTGATGTAACTGTATTGTGAAGGACAGAATTAAGAGAAGAGACCTTTACAGTGTGTTTTGCTCAAACCTGCATGTAAACAGCGAGACGTGTGCATGCCGACACACTCTCGGGGCGGCATATGTGTGCGCCATATGTTTACAAGAGGAGGGCTGGTATGCAGTTGGTTAATCGGCTCTTCAACACACAAACAAGGCACACGCAATTTCAGCCAACCTATTAGGTCAAGTCAGCGTCTAATCCTTCCTTTGCACATCAAGCCGCACCGTTCCACCTGACCTCCTCCGTTCTGCCCCCTGCGGTCGCGTTTAAGCCACGTTCAGAGCGTCCCTGTTACCCTCCTGCACAGTTTTTCTCCTGTAGACATTACTGAGCGACTACGTTTCTGCTCTAGCAGGCGAGTTAGAATTCCTCGACTCATTTCTTGGCTAAAATGTACATTTGCACGTTTATTTCTTATTTCTACTCCCTTCACAAATGTATTGGAACAAGGGCTTTGGTAGGAAAAAAAGCAAAGTTTTTAAGAGATGATGCTTAGATGCTTAATTGATACCAAGTTAGAACTGAGAATTACAGAATATACATAATAATATAGTGTTTAAACTGTTGTGTCACAGGTTTTACAGATTCAACTTCCTTGTGTAACACGTGTCGTGCTTTTCATGATATCTCATGAGGTGTTTTAAATCCATCAGAAAGTGAATCTTAAATTAAATCTTGACTTATTTGGCACAAGCCAGATCGGTATCACAGTATCTGCCTAACAAACTACAGACTTTGTCCTGTGTTTGTGCTGCTGTAAAGTTACCACATTAAAAGTACAGTAGATGCAGAGAGGGCTGATGCTTTAAACAGGGACGGTGTTTCTCAGGTGAAAGCTCACACCTGCTGTTCCTACAAAGATTCCTCGTGTCGCTGTGTTTTCTGACAGATGCCTCTTTGACCATGTTGTGCATTCCACTACTGTTTTATTTTAAAGGTTAAAGTTATGTTTTGGCTTTCTGCTAATCCAGCCTGTGTGTCAATAGGTGTGCAGAGGTGACATTTGGTCAAGCAGGATTAGAAATCTTGATCCCTTGAAAGAGTAGCTGCTCTGAGAAACAAACACTGAGGTCATGTCATGAAAAAAGGACGTCCGTCTGTATATTTATATCTCCTCTACTCTTGAAGTGATCTTTAGTTGAGTTGTAGGAACTGGCTTTCCTCTTAATGAACCAGCTTTACTCTCATCGACCGGCCTGTTAGCAGTGCAGTGAACCCAGATAGTCTGAACTTCTCTGTACTCTGTACCACTGGTTCTCAAACTGGGGGTCGGGACCCTCATGGGGGTCCCAAGATAACTTCAGGGGGTCGCCAGGTCATTGTAAAAAAAAACAAATAAAGAAGTAAAGCCTACATTTATCAAATAAATGTGTATCAGGGCTGTCAGAATTAAAAGTGTAAACTTCTTCCCACTCCTTTTTTTTAAACTTGTTGATATTATGATTTGATTATGTGATATTATTATTCTTTTTTGCTATTTTTTAAATTATTTTCTTTTGTTTTTATATTTTTTTCCCCTTTCATTTGTTTGAAATAAATTCAATTCATTCATTTAGTCAAAAGAAAATCAACGTGTTAATGTAAAGAGATGAATCTGTGGAATTAACACGTTCATTTTTAACGCATTAACGCATCAACAACAAAGTTATTACTCATGAGATATTAAAAATTCAAATTGGGGGTCACGAACACAAACTTATGTTATCTTAGGGGTCGTGGCTCATAAAGTTTGAGACCCACTGCTCTGTACTGAAGCTATACGTATGTGCACATAAATACTTAGCTACATACATACTGGTGTGCTAGCATGTGCACGCTCTGTGATTTGCCCTGAGGTGACCTGCTTTCTGACTGCTGCTGTCTAGGATTAGGCTTAAAGCTCAGACACACACACCATTCCCAGCACGTACCTTCCAAGCTCAGTCCCACATTTCCCGTCAGTTGGCGTTCACAGCCAAACGTAGAGCCGTTTCCTGCTCTAGTGCCAAGGAACCTAAAAAAAACCTGGCTGGAAACTGGGATGAAGTTAGCCAAGGCTAACTTTCAGCTAAACCCCACCGCTAGAGAGACATGTGAAGACAGCAACGTCTCCGTGAGGACAACGTTTTGTTCTGTTCCGTCGTTTGGATTTTATTTTGATTTTCTATTCAAAAAGCTGTTTGGTTGAAATGGAAGCTGGGGTTTGATCTCGTCGAGAAATATGGGAATAGGGAGCTCCTTTGCACCAAGATCGGATCAAATCTTTACCATAAGGTACGTCTGGTTCTGAAGACGTGACTGTCTGACTCTTGGTGTGCAGTGAATGGTGTTGGTCGGTGTTGTTGTGATGTAGGTTTTTGGTTTTTGAGTTTATCTGTTGACAACAAACGATACGTGACTCGTTTCTCAACCACTTGAAGAGCTAAAACAGAATAGTCTTGATTCAGCGCTAATGGCTTGATGTAGTCGAAGCTGAGCTCAAGGGTTTTGGTCATTAAGGTGTGATAGCCATACTGTGAGCAACCAGTAGATCCAGTTCAGAGGGCCACTATGTTATTTGTCATTTTCCATCACTACACCCAGAAGGATGCACATATACAGGATATCAACATAAACTTCTGCCCTAATAAAAGGGAAAAAGACTAACGTGAACAATTCTGGTTTTAAACTCCAAACTTCCTAAACATGTTTAAAGCATATTTAGATATTGGTATTTTCTGTGTTCATTCTGGCTTTTGGGGCATTGCTTGCCTTGACACGACCTTTTTTTTCTCCACACATTACTGAATGTATAATGAGGGCAGAGATGCTTTTATTGGGGTTTTATAAAGGAGAAGGCCATGTGTTAAGGACTGTACAGCACAACTGAACCTTGTTTTACGTGGTCCACGGAGCAGTTTGTTCAGCTACGTCTCCATGCTCTCATCACAGAGTGAGTTTGGCACCGAGGCAGAACCTCCCACGGATCATCCTCAAAGGAATCTTCCAGGGTGTTAAAGTGGTTCGTGGACCGGACTGGGACTGGGGCAACCAAGACGGTGAGTGGAGTGTGTGGGGAGGACTGTTCATAACCGGGCGCTGCCAGCTCAGCAAGCCCCCTGCCTTCTTAAGCTCGGAGCTGTGCCTCTTCAAAGTGTTTCACCATCCTCACATCTCATTAACCTGCAAAACGTTGGGTTGGTCTGTGTGCACTTATATTGCCAGTGAGTCATCAGAGTCTGTCCCACAGATGTGTCTGGCTGCTTGTGCCTGTATGTGTGTCTTTATTGAGTCCTTGTTTTTCTTTTTCCATCCCAGTGTAGTGGCACAAACTGAGAAGCCCCTCCACGTGTAGTCTATGTTATGGACGATGCAGTGAACTGTGTCTTCATGAGTTTCCTCTGTTTTGAAAAGTATTCTTTATTTCAGATACCAACAGCCTACACTGGCTAACGTTGGACGTAGTTTTAATCTTAACTGCTGATGTGGGGTCTCTACCATGACAATAGAAATGCTCCCTTTTCTAGAGCGAATGAGTCAAAATGTCCTTTTGGTGTCTTTGCAATCAGGGGTTAGGTTAAGTCTCTCATCAGGCTTAAGCTGTGTATGCGGTAAGTGCGTACAGGAGCATTTAAGCATGCTCAGAATCCCCACTATGTGTTCTTACGGGTCACCGGTTCAGTTGGTGTGGTTAGGTACTGAAACTGCTTTAATGTCTTCATATCAAACAACGTGACATATTGACCTGAAACCTTCTTGAAATACAGGATGTGTGCTAACAATGTGACCAGGAAATGCTTATTGTTTGTGGGTGATTCTTATTTTGCCCTTTAATGTTTCTAAAGTCAACAGAGGGTTTTGTCTGGTGTTTGGTTCTCAGAGAAACGGCGACTGTAGAAAGTGGAATGAATGATTCTGACACTTGGCAGCTTCTGTCCCTACAGGGAAAATGTTTCTGTCTGTCACCTTATGTGTTACACAACTTCTCTGATTTTTTTCCCCTGACATCTGTCCAATGTTTTTCCTGTTTTTAACGGGCTGATTTTCCTTCAGCTACTGTTGTCTGCCTACAAACTGATGCATTGTTGTCTCTTTGCGTATTTCCTCTGCGTGCATTCATGTGTGTGTAGGTGGGGAAGGTAAGGTTGGGAAGGTAGTGGACATTCGTGGTTGGGACACAGAGTCTGGTCGCAGCGTGGCCAGTGTCACCTGGTCTAATGGCACAACCAATGTCTACCGAATGGGCCACAAGGGCAAAGTAGACCTTAAGTATGTGTCAGACGGCCAGGGAGGCTTCTACTACAAAGACCACCTACCGAAACTCGGTAAGTCACACATATTACTGTTTTGAAGTTATTTGTTATTGTTATTTGTTACAAAAAGCACAAAAATGCAGCCTTAGGAGTGTGTACAGATCATTTTGGTGTGATGCAGGAATAAGATAACCCTCTGAACTCCAAGACTTTTTTTGTTCCTGCCACATTTGTCCTCACTGTGGGCTAATTTTCACCCCAACATAAAGTCCTGCACCTCTGTGGAAACAGCACAGCACTGGATAGAAGTAAAGAGTCGCTCAAAGCTCCTCAGTTGTGCATTTTTAGTTTCCAGCCGAATCTGGTGCAATTTTTTATTTTTTTTTGGCAAATTTGTAAATGAGACGGTCACAGTTTTAAGCTTAGATTTGATCAATGATCATTAATCAATTGTCTAGTGAAACCAAAAGTCACACATGATAAGTTTAAGTAATCCCAGGATTCTTCTTGTTTCTGAAGTTTCTTGTTCTGACAAATTGTATAGTTTTAGTAATTTTTAAAGATAAGATGCCTTTCAAACCCACCGTCAAGCTTTGGGGTTCAGAGGGTTCATCAAAAAATGATATATGTGATGCGAGTAGGAAGTATAAGCAAGCATACTGACTTTAAACCAAACTAGAGTTGGTAACTTGAAAAGCTGGCATTGGTTTGTGTGTTGATGCTGACGCCTGTCCATCCAGGAGAGCACGCAGAGCTGCAGCGCCAGGAGAGCGCCGATGGCCACTCCTTCCAGCAGGGCGACAAGGTCAAGTGTCTCTTGGAGGTGGACATCCTGCGACAGATGCAGGAGGGCCACGGAGGGTGGAACCCCAAAATGGCAGAGGTATGAATACCGTTCCTTCTGCCAAAACGAAGAATAACACAATCCCGGTTAACAATAGACAGCTTTACGTAACTCCCCGCTGAGTTCTTATAGAATGTAAAGTACAAAGTGTACTTCCTCAGTGTCTTCCAGCCAGTTTGTGCCGTACGCATGTGTTCTCCTCATGTTTTAGAGAAACACGGCCTCGCAGTCGAAACGCATGTGCCTCCATAAAACCTGGCATACTGGGCATTTATGTAAGTGGCTCAGATGGATGTTGCGACAGAGTGAAAGGAAACAGAACATCCAACCCTCGAATCACAGCTGCTGAAGGGAACATTAAGGTCACAGCCATGCAGAAGGAGACCCAGGGTGAAACGCTCTATTTGTGTTCGCAGTACATTTGCCGGATCGGGACTGTTCATAGAATTACTGACCGGGGAGATGTCAGAGTCCAGTACAGCAACAACATCCGCTGGACCTTCCATCCCGGCGCGCTCACCAAGGTACCGAGTTACAGGTTTCCTACAGAGGGTTTTACACAAGGGGGTCGTTCCATATAGGATCCACCAACTCTGATAGAAGTCATGCAAGATTTTACCTTTATGCGATGAATGTTTTACATAAGGGTGTACATAGGAGTGAGAGAACATTTTATTAGTGTTGCCCTTATAACCTAATTAGCACAGGAGCTGAAAAACCCATTTGATCAATTTCACTTCAAGTGTCCCAATCTACAACCAGAGTGTAGTTTTTGCTCGGCACTATTTTTTCCCTTTGAGCATCATTGTCATGGGAACGTAGAGTAACAGAAACAAGCTTTTGTGGACTGGATGTCTTGTCCGTTTACTGTTAACTCACCAGAGAAAAGCTTGAAAAGTGCATTTTGGGTAAACTGGCAGGGATCCTCTGACCATATGGGATGAGTGGGTGGTCAGAACAAGTTCTAATATATGAAGGTTTTTACCTGCGTTTCGATATTAAGCTCATCTTGCAATCATGATTCCTGCTAACATGTAGAATGTGATGCTCTATTTACTCGAGCAATTAAAGCCACGATAATTCCTGCTCAGTCATTTTCCCGTCCCTGTAGAAATGACAAGCGTTGGATATGAAGATTAAGAACCTAAATTAAGAAACGCAAAATTTCGACCCACCTCTAAGTACTGCAAGAACCTTTAGCTGATATTTCTAGTATGAAATTTTGCATGACTTCGTTAAATATACTCTCGTTATGCTATTTTTTGTATCAGTGTGATTTTACAGCTCTGTTCATAGTTTGTCATTTGGCCTGATGTCTCCCAGGTGAACACTTTTGGAGTCGGCGAACTAGTAAGAGTCCTGGAGGACATGGAGAGTGTGAAGAGACTCCAGGCTGGCCATGGAGAGTGGACAGACAGCATGACTCCTGTATGATCATTTAGCCTGTTAATGCTAACTCTGACTCTGCGGGGTGTTTGTTAGTTATGAACGCTTCATGTGCTCGTCTGTAACTCTGTAACGTCACTATGACTTGACAACAGACTGGACTTTAGGAATGACAGTGACTGCACCACACTAACTGTTAGAGGGGAGAAACAACATTTTAAATTATGTTTATTTGGGTCAAGGGTGCATAATAACACACACACAATGCAGCACTGAGGCTTCAGACGTGGGATTTGTTGGTCTTGATGCTGGACTGAATGTGACACTTCACTCAGGATTCTTTACCAGAACTTGAGGCTTACTTACTAACTTCCGACTTTGTCCCACTTCTGTATTCTGGCCGTCTTTCTGTCTGTGATGCTAACTGTGTCACTCGCTAAAGTAAAGCCTTGATTTGGCAGACGTCCTTCTAAATTAGGACCGACCTACTTCGTAAAGATTTGGCGTACATCAGGAACTAACCAAGTTACCTTGACTGTGGCCCGGTTGTTATCCGAGCACTAAACAGGGACAGATGTTGATCCTGTAGAATAATTGGCAATAATCTGTTCATTTCGTACCTATCTGTGCCACGTACGCCTGACCTCTTGCTTTTCCTGCAGGTGCTCGGCCAGGTCGGGAAGGTGTTGAAAGTATATGCGGATGGCGACCTACGGGTGGCGTTCGGAGGTCAGACGTGGACGTTCAACCCGGCGTGCCTCTCGGCCCAGCCCGTAGAGGTGGATGCCAACCTCATGACAGCAGAGAACCCCAACGAATCTGGAAGTAAGGCCTCTGCCGGGACGAAGGGGCTCATCGCTAACGCTGCAGCTCCGGCTTTATCTCCTGCATGCATTCACTCATTCGTCTCCCCGCCTGCCCTCATTCCAGCTCTGTGTCTGCTGTGCATGCTTTTTCATGCAGGCTGCTGCATCCATGACCCGTCTTTTTCCAGCCGAGCGCGGGCAGCGCGCCCGTTTCTTGAAGCGTTTCTCTCTGTAGCGTGTCATGATCCCGCATGTTGACAGCACAGTAGACACTTGTCGTCATGTCAGATATTCTCAGCAGTCTGCTAATCACGACAAAATCTACTCTGTGTTCACCTCAGTGGACGGGAGGTCGACAACAGAGTGATGTGTGTGTGAGTGTGTGTGTGTTTGTGTGTGTGTGTGATCAGGTTCCACTGCATGCAGGGACATTTTGACTCATTCCTGTGGTTTTGTTCACTTCAGGTCTGACAAAGCTGTGACTTTGACGGGCTTTTTTGTCGCTCTGCAAGGCTTACGCGGTGCTACCATCGGACTGAAAAAGCTAACTGAATTCTTTTATCTCTTGTCTGCCCCCTCTCCACACCTTGCCCTCTCCAACACCACTCCTCCTCCTCCTCCTCCTCCGTCTGACCGTCTCCGTCCAGGTACTGTCATCTCAGTGTTGGAGAAGCTGCTGTCTCAGTCCACAGAGCAGGACAATCCCAGCCGGCTAGTCATCGAGGCAGCACAAGGCAGTGCCAACAAAGTGCGGGAGCTGGTGCAGAAGTATCCTGACAAGGTTAGTGCAGCACTTCTTCTCTTTGCTGCAGTCCACAGCCTGTTCCAAAAGCTCCTTCCACCAGAGCCTCAGGACTGGGGGTGGGGATTTTAAGGGCCAGACTTCCTGAGCCAGATGAGATAACGCTATACGCCGGCATTTGCCAGTCCGCCTGATAAAAGTTGTTAACTCGACACAACAGAGCACAAAACACGGGATGGTTTCTCTTATTGAATTTGTTTAAGAATCATATAAACCGACTGCTTTACTGGATTCTGTGGTGCAACTGAGAAACCATCAGCGTCTCTGCTTGTGACAAAAACTTTTCATTTAAGCTGCACAACAAATATGGAAAAAAAATTTAAATGAAAGTTGTGAAATATCTATTGTCAGTAGAGTGAACAGCTTTTTTAACCTTTTTTTCCCCCTTTTTTCATGATTTGTGGCGTTATAACTTGATCATACTGCACAAAAGGCAGCTTAGAGATCTTTCTATGTCTAGTTGTGGTTGTGCTGTTGCCATAGTGGTGCAGGAATTTATTAAAAACTAGTCCACAATAAGAGAAAATGTGACGAAAAACAGCCCAGAAAATGCTTAGAGTCAAAGGGTTAAACCTTTAAACTACTCAAATTAAAGTGTAGTAGTGCATAGTGTCTCATGTTTTATGATGTATTTCTTTCCTACAATTAAAACTAATAACTTGTCAACTTGTGAGTTTAGTAATCAGTGTTTACTCGTAGTTTTGCTGACATCTGCAGTGACGACACTACTTACTGGGATTATGCGCACCGAGCGTGTCATGTACACGGGCGCTGTTCATGTGCAGATTATTTCCGGCTAGTTTCAGCTCTGTTCGTGTCCGGGCTACCATCACATCAGATGAATCTTCAGTGTTTCTCCTCCTGGCAGGTGGATATCAAAAACCAGGGCAAGACTGCACTGCAGGTTGCTGCTCATCAGGGCCACATGGAGGTGGTGAAGGCCCTGCTGCAGGCCAACAGCTCCATCGAAGTGAAGGATGAAGACGGAGACGCAGCGTTACACTACACGGCCTTTGGGTGAGGACACACACATTTATAGACACTATAACCTATACAAAGAAGAAGAAGAAGAAGAAGACACACGTAGCGCTCGAGTCCACAACCGGTGCAGCTTTACACTTGATGGAAAATCTTGTGACTGACAGATGTACAGCAGAGCTCCAGCTCGTGCCCTTCCACGTAATGTGATAATCCTGTTCACAGAAGTGATTGCATTAAAGTGTTGCTTAATGAGGCAGCCGCGTCTCCTCCCCTCATCACATTAGCATGCGCTCAGGAAGTCTGCATCGGATAAAATCTCTTCAAGGAATAAAACTTGTTATAAATAACTGTTTCACTGCTACTGCTTAGAACCAGTGGCTTCATGTGCCAACAGACTTGAACAGAATAGTTGTTTAAGGTTGCAAAAAAACTTGTTAGTGTTTTATATTCTGATTTGAATCGATAGAATTCACAACACAGTTTGGACAAGTTTAATTAAAAAACACTGATGATTAATTCTAAAGCCTTTTTCTGTTTCTGTTTCTCTGATTTAGCAATCAGGCAGAGATTGCACGGCTGCTGTTGAGCAAGGGGGCAAACGTTAACCTCCTGAACAACTCCATGTGCACGGCGCTCCACATCGCCGTCAACAAGGGCTTCACCGACCTGGTGCGGGTGCTGACCGAACACTCGGCTGACATCAATCTCCAGGTGAGCGTGGTTAGCTTGTAGCTTCGTCCTGCACCCCAGCCAGCCACTCAAATTTGTTGTCAGACAAATCCCAGCCCAAGGTTTTGGTGTGCTTTGTTCTGGGTCATTTGCTCTCATTGCTGCTTAGATTTTGTTTTAACTTTGTCAACTGGATTGATGAGGTCTTCACAGCAGCTGCATATACACCGTTTTTGAACTGCTTGTGCATCCATGTATCCACACTTATTACTGTTTTGTTCGAAATATATGTTGTTTTATTTAATTATAATTGAGTAACTGGCTTCAAACCCTTATCATACGGCCCTGGCACAGTCACTCAGGTGTGTTTACAGACTGAGCGTCCAGATCTGCATCGCCAACGTCAGTCGTTTACGATACACATGTCATAATCGACTCACGCGTCGCCCTTTCAAGCGGCTGTGAACACACACAATTTCAAACATTTATGGCATTTGACTGTGACCCTGCTTCATGTCAGCCCTCAGCCTCATTAAGGCACTTTTTCTTTTAGGGGATTTTTCAGATGATTAACGTGCCCGCAACCAGGCCCAGAATTCACTAACTAACTCATTTCTTCTGCTTGAATAGTGTAGTTACTCAGCTAAAAACACGCCAGCCTGGAGTTTGTTTGTTGTTTGGCACATTTGCATTTAGTCTGTTGGTGCGTCTGCTGTTTTTTTCCTTCACCTAAAGAGGAAAAAAAGGATTAAGACCACATACGACAAGTTCTAGTGAACAAAGTCATTTTACAGACGAGATGTTTACAAGATGTCTGGAGGATATTAGCAGACATTCAGCAGATGATGATGCTCTTCTACGTTACACGACCACTCACTTCCCACCTCTACCCTCTCTTTTTCAGGATTCGTACGGGGACACGCCACTCCACGACGCCATCGCTAAAGATTTCCGAAATATCATCGAGATCCTGGTCGTGGTGCCCAACATTGACTTCACCCAGCAGAACCACAGAGGCTTCAACCTGCTGCACCACGCGGCCCTCAAAGGAAACAAACTGTGAGTGGAGATGATAGAAACACATCCAAAGCTTCAATGTTTTACTCACGGGTCACGTAGAGAAGCTGCTCCCAAACTTAGTGGTAAAAAATGAATGGACGCTGTATGTTTGGGGGAAGTCGGTGTATTTTTAGCAGCTGCAGGTTTTCTCTGTGTGAACATTTTGTGGATTACGAGGAGCTGCATCTTCTACTCCTGACCAGCCAGTGACTCAACCAGTCAGCAGTTGTCACTTTGAGATAAAGAACATATAAAAACGTTACTTACTATAATTAGTAATGGTTGATAATAATAGTACAGTCGTGACTCAATGATCCGACCCTTAACAATCCTAAACCTGCTATCTGACAGGTTTTTAGGAAAAACAAACAGAACCCATAAAAACAGCCTTAACATAGCGACAGCCTTGGATTGTGACTCCGACATGACATTTAATGTCACCAATCAGGATGACGGCGTATTATCTGACTGAACAATCCCACAGATTGGCTACGTTCACACTGCAGGACTTGATGCTCAATGAGGATTTCTTTGTGACTTCCTTCACGTTTCCAGTTCAATGCGACTTGTATGTGATCTGCTGTGTGAACTTCATACGAGCCAAAAGTGTCCCGCATGCGCACAAGAGGACACGACGACGTCACACGCAGCGAGCGTGCTCAGTGTTTATGGAAGTAAACATGGATGGTAACGGTGGAGCGTATCTGCCACTCCCCCGCCGCCACCGATGGAGGAAACAGAAGTGTGAGCGCTAACTAAACTAGCATCAGCAGCCAAGTACTGCCTGTGTGTTCTGGACACTTCCACCCCGTCAGAGCGCTGCCCCGGGGTCGAAGTGTCCCCCGACCGCCACAGAATATTCAGATATTCATTGTTTATTGTTCCTGAACATCCAGAGAGCAGAAAGTGCTATTGGGACCAGCCCTACTAGTTATTCTAACAACTATGAACAATAATGAACAACTAATGAGCCTTCCAGCATCAAGCCCTCCTTGTATCTGGACCTCCGTCTGGACAATCCGACAGCCTTGATATCCGACATAGAAGAAGGTTTTACATTTAGTGTTGGATTATCGAGTCACGACTGTATTAACAGATTGGGTTAAAAAGCCTAATGAAGCTACGCGGTGGTTTGGAGTGCTGTCAGGGTGACACAAGCTGTAGTTTCTGGGTGTTCAGTCGCCAAATCTAGGTTGCCATCAAGCACCATCTAAATCCTGCTGCACAACAGTTCGCCCTCTCTGTCCCGAGCGTCACTTCATTCCTGTCAGTCTGCTCAGCTGTCCTGGCAGTTTAAATGCATATGTTTAATATGAGCGGTAGAAATGATGGTTATGGATGTGTGTGTGCGTGTGGGAATCTTTCCTGTGGCTTCAAATGAGGATTCAAAGGTCATCTCTTGGCGCTATCCGTTACAGATAGAGAGCTCGTCTCCCACACAGCTTCTGCTGCTGTCAGCAGCCTGGCAGTCAATACGAGGCAGAAATGCAACATTTACTTTTACATCCTGTCTCCTCATATAGACACACTGCTTCTCCAGATTTTCCCAGACTTACATTCAGTGTCTCCTTCAGGCAGAGTTGGGATTCATGAGTTAATGAGAATTCCAAACGAGAGCAATCAGTGTGTCTCTCCAAGGAAAGCCCGGCATAACGCAGCGATATTAATCCTTCCAAAAAAGGCTCCAGGTAGCTCGTGAAAGATCAACTCGGCCGATTTTTCTTTCCTCCACACTGAGGCGCTTGAGGCCAAACGTCACAGCTGCATCGCCGACACCCGTCACAAAGGCTCCGCTGTCTTCTGTCTGAAGGTTCTTAATCACAAGCTGAGCCTCGATGTGGTTCTGGCAGTTAAAATGTAGTAGATAACTTCATGTTCTCACAATGAGGAGGTTTCATCCAGGCTTAACCCAACTGTTATGTCTGGTTCCGGTTTTAGTGTGCCAGTGTCCTCCTCTGTCCATGTTGCATCATCAGCTCCCACACACACACCGAATAGCCTGGAAGTGTCGAGAGAGTGCAGGGAAAGTGAATGGTCATGCTCCCTGTCATTAATACCACCATTGTGCATGTTATTATATATAAATCAATTTAAAAAGCCTATAAGTGCTATATAGATTAACTATAATGACTCAGCTTCCCACTGCTCTCAATCAGCTTCCTGTTTGTCCATAACATGCAAAGACCATCTACATTGTCCAACATCAGATGCTTTCTCATATCGAACATGTGCATCGCTGCAACTGACCAGCTTTGATGCCATCTGTCATATCTTCAGCATTATGTTCCGCAGTGCATTTGATTCATTGCTGGAAAACAAACCACCTTTTTATGCAGAAATCCTTCTGTTGTTCGGTGACACTCTACACTGAATTGTCTTGGACTGAGGTGGCTCACCGCGCCAAAACATGAGTACAAGATGAGTAAGATAGAAAGTTTCCTTCTACGTCTAAGTGACCTCTAAAGAGTAAATGTTTCCGTCCGTCCAGTTTGCCCGACCACGTTGCTGTTTCATTGCTTCGGGGCTTTTACAACCTCATATGAACTTTCCTTCCCAAATTACAACAAAACCCTGTCATGGAAAGTTGTCCCTGGCCTCTTTTTTTTTTTTTTTTAAGAGGTGCCGTGAATGAAAGAAAGGAAGCGTGATAAACACCGCCATCACGACAAGATTTCCTCCCTGAAACAATGCCGCTTCTTTTAATGCGTATCTTATGTAACGTCACGGGCGATATCCTGGAAATGTGTATTCCAAGACCCCGAAGATTTTACAGGCTGAGTGATTTACGGTAGCTGTGCCGAATTCTGAATTCTCCAGAACGTGCCTCCCGGTGACCCACATTTCCTTATTGCGCCAACAGCTCGGCCCCTCCCATCTCATTTCATACAGACCCTGTGCATCAATATGTGGATAAATGTCATCCAAGCAGAGAAAGAAAAAAAAAATAGCTGGCCTGCAATAGCTGGAAATAAGAGAGGAAAAAGAACAGCAGCCTGAACCGCAGTAGACAGTCAGAAACAGAACGAATGTCCGATCCGTTCTGGCAAGCGTCATATGTGCAGTTCTGGGAGTTCGGGCTGCCTTTCCCCACCGTTCATTTAGCCTGACATCAGCTGCACCAGGAGTGGAGACGCAGGATTTACAGTGTTCAGGATCTCCTCGGTTCACCAGTTCACCAGCAGGTCCACGACACACTCACTCACTCCGCTTACTGCTCAAATGCAAACTGTAGGACACCGTTTGTGGGTCCTGAGGCGTTAGGTTAAGGCTAGCTTTACATTTTGGAGTGAGTAAAGACAGATTCCACTCAGAAAAAGTATATATATTGTCATAGTTATGGTTGCAGCCAGTCAGGATTTGTCCTCCATATGGTCATTTAATGGTCAGTTTGCCTGCTTCAGCAGTAAAGACCGTCCTTAAGGAGTTCCTGGGAGCAGCTGTGACCCTCTGTTGTTTTTTTTGTGTGACAGAAATACAAGAATGCTTTGTTTATTAGCGTATTTATTTATTGTGAGCAAATGGAAAAAAGGGGCTAAAGGCCAAGTTCACAAACAGCCCTGGGAAAGAAGAGAGACGAGGCACAGAGCCAGGTTTCTACTGGAGGTCGCAGCTTGATAGAAGAGCTCAGCGGATGATATTTATTAGAAAAGAGAGACTCCTTGGCTTGATTAGTCACTCTCTCCTGCAGTTCCACCTCTTTTTTTCCCACCAGATCCCATTTGTTCCTCAGCAGTTCTTCGTGTCCTGTAAATCCTCCTCCTTTTTAACAGTATTGTGTGAATTGTGTGGCGCAGCTGGATTTCACTCACAGCGCTACTTATACTTGGAATCAACATATTTTCTTTTAATTAGGAATGTAAGAACTAATATCCTCCTCCTACTATCAGAGGGTGAAAACTTCCAGAAATAGCCAAACGCTGACTTTAGAGTGCATCAGTGTGCCTGACGGGCCCTCTGGCTGTCGGCTTCGGAGGCATGTTTGTACAAACACCAGCTCAGACCTGAATATTCATGAACACACACAGGAGTAACGATTATGGAAATAACGCAGAATATTGGAGGCACACTGGTGACACAGCTAACATCCAGACTGCTTCAGACCAGAGCCTACTCAAATGCAGGAACTGTACGACCCTCAATAAGTACCTCAACCACACACACATGCAGACAGTCAGCGCTGCATTGCAGGTACCAATGACCTCTAACACTTTAAACCATCCCAGCTACGTGTGGCTGCACATGTAGCTGAGCAGGTGCTTTTAGAGTCTTCGCTCTCCAGCAGTGCTTTTAAAATATATTAGCAGACTGCTGCTAACGAGCTTGTAAATGTTGTAATATGTTAGTTATCTTAATTAAAGCTGCAGTGAAACCGTCCTCATTACCCCAAAACAAACATAATGCAACAGTAAATTTCTAGAGCAAAGAAAGCAGGATTTAAAGCCAATCATTTGTGTTGGAAGAGCTTAAGTTTTGTTTTAAGTTTATGGATCATTTAAGGTGTTTTGTATTATGCATACAGTACATCTATCCTCCTCTAGTATGCAGTTTACTATCTACTGGTTTGTTTAAATGCAGCGCAGAGGATTAGTATGAGCACAGAATGAAATGCAAATCAATACAAAAGTAAAACAATAATTCTAATTATTAGGAAAACCCTTCTGTCAGTGACCTGTGCTGTAGATTGCACAAATGTTCATTATTGCATGAACTCCGTATGATGAGCTATTTGCTGCTGTGTCGGTTATGACGTGTCATCCGGTCGTGTTGCTGCGCCTCGTCTGCGTCACTTTGACAGGTTTCTATTCGCAGAACAAAAACCAGCGTCCGTCTACGTGTGCAGCTTCAGTGGAGGCAACATTAATATGAAGCTACGATCCATAGAAAGTTTGGTTCACATCACAGTGAAGCCTCCGTGGTGACATGCCAGCTTCCTGAGTGCTCACTAAGGCTGTCATCTTCAATTTCACACGTCATAAAGCAGACTCAGCTCCAGAGCAGAGGGTGACTTTACAGCACGGCCTCATACTGCAGCATCAGCCCGCCGCCTGAAACACAAGGAGCTCCAATAACCTCCCTTCACCGAGTGTGGCCCGACCGCAACTGAACTTCTCTTTTGTGAACCGTCACGTTCGAGACAACACGCTCCAATCTCGCACAAGTAGGCGATTGCCACAGAGGATGGTTACAGTTGGTGACCTTGAAAGAATCGAGCACCGACGTCCTCGGGTGTTGAGCTGAGAGGTGCTGATTGAGGCGTTTGTGGTTTCTCTGGTGAGCTTTCTTGTCAGGATGGCTTGTTAACAGCTCTGCAACAGCTGCGTCTGTGTCCCAGTTCATGTCAAGTACTAAGACACTGGATAATATCAGCTTCCTATTGTGGGAGGTTTAAGGTTGTGCATGTTGTGCAGTCTGCAGGAGTGTAGATGCACTGTCACAGTTCAGGTTCATGTATGTAACAACAAGCTTATAGAGTTGAAATTAGTCATTATGAAGGTAAACACTGACAAGGAAAAGCATATCAAAAACAGGTGTGTAAAGGTGTTTTTTTCTGATAATGTTCAGCAGCGGTCTGTTTGATTTGGTTAAAAAGCCTGCAAAGTGGTTCAGTGTTTAGCACTGTCACCTCACAGCTAGAAGGTCGCCGGTTCGCGTCCCGGTGAGGACACCCGGGATCTTCCTGAGTCTCCATGTTCTCCCTGTGCAGCGTGGGTTCTCTCCGGGTTCTCCGGCTTCCTCCCACAGTCCAGAAACATGCTGAGGTTAATTGGTGATTGTAAATTGTCCGTAGGTGTGAATGTGAGTGTGCTTGGTTGTCTGTCTCTAAGTGTAGCCCTGTGATAGACTGGTTACCTGTCCAGGTGAACCTGCCTTCACCCTGAGTCAGCTGGGATAGACTCCGCCTCCTACCACCCTAATGAGGATTAAGGTGTAGAGATGAAGGATGGATGGTTGAAAAGCTCTGGTTCAACTCACTGAGCTGTGAGCCCTGACTAGTGCTGTGACTAATGGAGCCTTGTGTCGTTTGTCCTGATGGCAGGGCCACGGAGAAGATCCTCGGCCGAGCACGGCAGCTGGTGGACGTTAAAAAGGAGGACGGCTTCTCCGCATTGCATCTGGCTGCTCTGAACAACCACAGAGATGTTGCTGAGATCCTCATCAAGGAGGTGAGCCGACAAGCAAATCCTTTAAAACGGTTTTCTTTTCTCTTTTCTTTACTGCTGCAATATAGTACGAGTTAGCACGAGTTAACATTTAGTCATAGCTGTAAGTTTTCTGTTTCTTAATAGAGGAATGTTTTTTTTTTTCCTCTCCTACCTTAACTACCACAGGGGCGCTGCGACATCAACATCCGCAACAACCGCAACCAGACGCCGCTGCAGCTGGCCGTGATGCAGGGCCACACCGACCTGGTGCAGCTGCTGGTGGCCGAGGGCGCCGACGTCAACATGGAGGACGAGGACGGCGACACGGCCATGCACGTGGCTCTGCTCCGCCCGCAGCTGGCCAACGTGGTGCTCAGCCCGGCCGTGGGAACCAGCAGCACCGAGGAGAGCAGCGAGGGCTGTTCGTCCACGTCGCTCTACTGCAGGGTGAGAGGACGGTGGCGGGATGGGAAACTCGTTAGATATTTCTCAGTTAAAGTCAGTTGTTGGAACATCGGTTCTAGTCATTATTCTGCTCATAATGTGGATGAGGATGTGTCTTCATTTGTTTATTTATATTTGGAAAACTGTTACCTGTGGGATGTTTACTTCAGGAGTTATAATTCAGTTATAGTTTCAGCGATTTCCCTAAGGTTTCCACCAAAGGGATCAATAAGGTTCTATTCTATTCTATTCTATTCTATTCTATTCTATTCTATTCTAATTGGACTAAAGCTGTGGATTACTGCTGAATTCTTGTTGAACTCAAATTACAAACGATACGAGGAAATAATGGCTAAATAAAAACTGGCGAGAGCATAAGAAAAGGCCTGAAGAGAGGTTTAAAGGGGGATTGAAAAGCATTCAAAGAAAAGTAAATATAGACTGAATAAGCAGGTAAATGGATACCCAAGCATAGTGAATTTACTCTGAAGCCGGGCAGACGGATCTTAAGGAGGTAAACACAGGCTCATAGTAAATAGAGACTGACGAAGAACATAATAAGGGCTAAGGACGGAGTGGTAAACAACACGAGGGGGAATGAATGTGAGGGTATTTGCGTGTAGTCTTGAGAGTTCATGTGGGGTAAGAGAATTAATTGGCTTTACCAGGTAAACGCCAGGATGAAAGGTAAGAGTAGGCGAAGGGAGTGAGCGAAGTGTCACAGATTTAAAGATGGTGTCAACTGAGGAAAAGGGACTTAAGTTTATCGTACAAACAGGCCAAGAGAGCAGGTTAACTAAGGACAAGGTCGTCAGGTAGGAGAGCAGCGAACTGATGCTATAAAGCTATAGCATCATATATAATATAAAGCTCTACAGGGTGTGGGGGGCTTTTGGAGAAAAATAAAGATTAGATTAAAAAACAAGTTGTATACAGTTTAATCTCAGACTGTGGCTTTTATAAGAAAGTACCGGCAAGGGACTGGAAGTGATGTTCCAGTAAAAGGCAGAGAGGAAAGAGCTGGGATGTGAAGATGAAGCTCTAACTAAGATGTCTTTGATAGATGTAGGAGTACGGTGTTAACATCCAGAGGATACCTTAACCATGATGATAAATGTTTGGATAAGAGACGCTTCATGAATCCAAGGAATCTAAAAGAAGTCATCAAGTATCACTACGACAATAGCAGTGTTATTAGTAATAAGGCAAGAAAGAAAGACTGGTGCCAAATGCAACATATCCAGTACCCTTTATCCTCCTTTAAAGAATATATTTTTTTAAATCACAATAGCAGTGTTATTAATTAATAAGGAAAGAAAGAAAGACTGGTACCATCCAGTCTGCCTGCTGTAAGCTTTATTTCGTGGCGTTACTTTACTAACATACAGCTCAACAGATTTGCAGACGTCACGTTTTCCTTCAGCTGTATCCCCATTAAAACAAATCCACTTTCAAACCTCTGGCTTTGAGCTCCACACACCAAACTGACCCATTCATCTTACTTTGTAGTACATCCAATATAAGTCCAGTTTGTCTCTCTTGTTTTATCTGTTTTTATTTCCTGCAATCTGCTTCACAAGTTCACCAGATAGCAGCTCCCTGTGTCTATTAGTTTATCAGAGCTGAAAACATCTGCATCTTGCTGTTGAACAATGCTGAAGAGCATGGGGGGTGAAACTGTATGAGAAAAGTAAAACTGCAGCTCAGAGACAAAGCTCTGTGAAGCTGAGGGAAAACGTAGAGGTTCCCAGTGGATTGATCTCTATGAGCGACGCCTCTCATGTTATCATCTACCTCGTTATCAGAGAAGGTATTGATTGAAGCAGCTTTGAACACCCACCGAAGGAACTGCTCACCAGGTGTCACTGATGTCCTTTCATGCTTTTCATAGAGCCTTTAAATCACACGGACTACTTTAATATTTCTCGTTATGAGCCTCGACTCGTCTCTTTGTGCAGCTCGTCTTTACAAGCCCTCTAAAAGCTGCTCCATCACCTGCTCTTGGTATCACTGCACCAATGAAGAACGTCCTTTCCAGTCTACATGACCGCAAACACTGCAGCTACGCTCAGCCTCCTGGACACCTGCCAAGCCAACACACACACACACACACACACACACACACACACACAGAGCCATGAAGGTGGCTAGACTTATGTGCTCAGGGCTGTTTTGGCCACAGTCAGCAGATGAGTTATTCGGGGAGTTCCTCTGTGCTGATTAGATGTGGGTTTATGTATCAGCCTTAGCTGGATTGCTATGGATTTACTTCAATTACCTCTGCCTGGCTCAAATTCAACCGTGTCCTTCACTAAGTCTGTAAAGTGTTCTCAGCTTCCACCGTTTGAGCGTCACTGAGACTGTGTTTGTAGAATAGCCAAAGATTCATGTTTGTTGTACCTAAGACGACCTCTCTCCTTACATGTACCCGTAGCTGAACTCTTCGGGTCTTCTGGGGAGCACCGAGCTGAATGTCGGCACAGCCATCGCCTGTTTTCTAGCGCAGGAAGGGGCTGACATCAACTACGCCAACCACAAGGGCAAGAGCCCTCTGGACCTGGTGGCAGACGGCGCCATGCTGCAGGTCATCAAAAGCTTTTCGGAGAAGCACAGGTAGCTGTCTGTGAAAATACTATAAATCCACTGGATAAAGCTGTTAAACCCTTTACACTGGTCAACCTGCTATATTTACATTGTTCTGTTTGCCTTTGTGTAAATGAACCGGGAGTTTACAGATGAGCAGAAGTCATTCACTGAGGAGTAAGTGTTGGTGTGTGGAAGTCGTATCGGATGTTTGTTACAGCTGTGTGTCGTCCGGCAGGTTGCAGCGACTGCAGGCCATCACATGTGGTCAGGGCTTGAGCAGTGCCAGCCTGCGGCGGGTCCACACAACGCCCAACACCATGACCAACCTGGTTCTTCCCACGCCGCCCGGGCCCAGCGAATGCCTCATCTGCTCCGAGCTGGCTCTGCTGGTTCTCTTCTGCCCCTGCCAGCACAGTGTGGCCTGTGAAGGTGGGTGGAGGTCGAATGAGGCTGTGATGGTTTGAAGGGAGGGTGGAGGTGTGGAGTCAACGGCAGCAAAGGACCTCACTGTTAGGAACTGATAAGGTTCTTTACAGTAGAACCGGAGGCCAAGGCGATGCCATCTAGAGCAGCTATCTGGTTGGACAGTGTGTTTCTGAGGTGTTTAGGGCCAAATACAATAACCTCAGTTTGTCTGGATTTAAATGAAGAAAGCTACACATCATCCAGGCTTTTAAGTCCAACTGATTGGTTTCATTTGGCTTAATAGATAAATATAGCTGGGTGTCGTCTGCATAACAGTGGGAATTTATGCAGTGCTTCCTAATAATATTACCTAAGGGGAGCATCTACAAGGTAAACAATATAGGTCCTAATACAGAACCCAGTGGAACTCCATAACTAACGCTGCTGTGGGTGGAAGAACCATCATTAACATGAACAAACTGGAATCTGTCTGATAAATATGATGTTAACAGGTTTAGTGAAGTTCCTTTAAGCCCAGTTAAACATTCCAGTCTCTGTAATCACATGCTGTGATCCACTGGACCAGATGCAGCACTGAGATCCAGTAGAACCAGGATAGAAACTAGTCCACTGTCTGAAGCTATAAGGACATCATTAGTGACCTTCACCAGTACCGTCTCTGTACGATGATGAATTCTAGATCAGATCTGATGAATTAAAAAAAATAAAAAAAGGTGATGTTTTAAAGAGAACCTGCAAGTTAGCGGTCGTTTAGGGTTCAGAAGGTAAAGATGTCACTAACATGGGATTTATACTCCAGCTGTATTGTTGTGTATTTGTTTTGTCCTTGTTTATCTTCTCTGACCTCCACTGATCTCACCTGAACAGAATGTGCCCATCGCATGAAGAAGTGCATCAAATGCCAGGTCACAATCACCAAGAAAATTAGGCAAGGTAAGAACAATCCTCTTCTCTCTGGGATGTGTAAATAAACAAGGATCTAATGGAACATGTTCTGCAGGGCTTCTGTATGTACTCCTGTTGGAGCCGACAGCTTTCTGGTGTGTTGCTTTTATTCAGTGATAAAGATCAGCAGAACAATGACTGAAGCTTTTACCTTTGGGGTTTTTGTTGTGTTTTTTTTAATAGAGAAAGCTGGTTTGTCTTTATGATTTCTATTCACTATTTTAATTATTTACTGTGTGCATCTTTAAAGCCAATCTTAAAATGTTGCTGCCCGTGTGTTGCTGCCCTGATGTTTACTGTTGTCATGTGTTGGTGGTAATCCCCAGACACCTTGACTCGTGCTATATCCACGTACAGCCTTATTACCTTTGAATGAGCAGCACAGTGAAGCGGCTCATGTTTGCATAACACTGACTTGGTGCTGATGACCTCCCTCCGCAGACCAAACCGAGGTGGACTGCAGCCCTGGCACCGAGAACTCGGAACAGCACAACTTGCTGGAGCAGCTGCAGTCTCGCTACCGCCAGATGGAGGAGCGAATCACCTGCCCCATCTGCATCGACAACCACATCAAGCTGGTCTTCCAGTGCGGACACGCCTCCTGCATCGACTGCAGCGCTGCACTCAAGACCTGCCCGATCTGCCGGCAGACCATCCGCGAGCGGATCCAGCTGTTCGTCTGAGCTCCTCTCAGCTCTGAACCACCCAAAGAGAAAGCCGGAGGGTGCTGCAGAGAACTTACCGTGGGCACAGGAGGGGGGCAGCTACTGCACTGGACAACCCCGGTGACCTATATCAGGCTGTCGCACCATCTCACACCGACCATCCGTGATTGAACATCCACTCAGCCCATCGGTTGCTTTACTAGAGAAATGCTGTGTTACGTCGCTGAGAGTTCACTGTTACATTTTAGGTAGTTTCCCTCTCGAGCAGTGCAGGCGAGAACATGTCGATCACTTTGATTTTGTTTCAGCACCAGAACTGACACTTAGCCGAGCCCGACCGTAGTCTGACGGAGCTGGGAGGTTACGCTCCCACTTTGAATGCTCTGATTGGTAAACTGGGAGACGAAGGTCCCCTCACCTCCACCCGGCCGCCCACATAGCCTCCACCTCTTGTAATCTGTCCTATCTTTGCTGCTTTAAGTGGATGTCTGTTACCCATCATCCTCTCTGGCTTTCTAGCCTCCTCTGTTTACAAGGCTGCACAGAAATCAGTTCTCGTCTTCTTGCTCCTCAGCCTGTCCTGTGAATTCTGTTTGCTCTCATTTGTATCAATCTCTTAATAATCAGTGTTAGTCTTTGCAGAGGGAGTTGGTATAACTAAAGGCTCTCTATATAGTCCCCAACCACGTGTCTGTATGCAAGGGGAAATACACACTATATATGCATGAATATATGCATATTGTAAAGCTGAAAATGACTGTGTCGTCATGGGTGGTTCGTCGTCGTCGTTTTATTTCTCTCTGGTTACATTTGTGGTTTTTGATGTACCTCAGAGTACAGAGTTTTATTTATGTGTGAAAGATGGTATTACTTAGTAATGTCCTTTATAATTTGGTGTTTGCTTGGCAAAAAGTATTTAGTTTCTACTGAAGTTCACCCCAAGCCTACGTCCTCTACTCAGGGTATCAAATCATTGAAAGCACTTGGGATATCCACAAAGGGTTAAAGAACCACACACACACCACCACAGAGCAGCCGTGTGTCCGTTAGGTTTAGTAGAGGGTCACTGAAAGTCGTGGAGTTTCAGTGGAAATACTCGTTTCACTTTATTGACCTTCAAGATTTCCGTCTCATTAATGAAATGAATTCTGCAAAAACTGTCATTTTCTCCTAAAATCCACCGAAGTTCCCAGAAGCACCAGAAGCTTCACGTCATCTGTCAACAGATAGAATCGCTTTGGTCTGTGTGTGTCTGAAGACCCCAATGAGCTGCAGATCCTCACCTCCGAGGTGGATGTTCATGTCGTGTCACCTCCCAACCACATGTATTGTAGGATATAGAATTCAGAAAGGCAAAAACACGACGTGGCTGTGTTGCATCGTCTGTAGTCCCACGTCTACCTTCCCAGTCGAGTCATTTCAGAAGAAACTCCTCCCGCTGTCCTCTGGAGTTCTGGATTGTACATCATCTTCATTCTTTCTTATGTTTCGGTGTGTTTTCTTGAAGGGCTTATGCATATGAAAAAAAATTGTATCTATTTTATTCTTAATTTAATTTTTATTTTCTATACTAAACTTCCAGAGACAGGAGTTGTTTTTCTTTTTGTCTTCATTAGATCCCAAAGTTTGGGAGAGCCAATGTTGAAGATGTACATTTGAATGTTTGGGGGGGGAACTGTATCCTGTCTCGCTCTGCCTTTTTTTATGTGTAAAGAAAAAAAAAGATGTAAGAGAAGGAGCTGGAGAAACCCACCGCAAGGTTTACTTCGAGGAAGGAACTTTTACATCAGTGCCAAATCGCATGAGGCTGTGCATGGGCATGCACGCCCGAAATTACCTAGACGCACTATGCTAAAGCCCTCCCAGCTCACGAGAGGGTTCAATTATTCCAGCAGTGTGAAGTAAACTAAAAGCAAACTTTATATTTCCTTTAGTTCAGAATCAGAAGTTATAGCAATCGAGCTAATGGTGTTAGCTGTCTGACGTTAGCAGTAGTGCTTTGAAACTCCTCATGTTCTCAACGAAAGGTGATGCTACACACTTCCAAAATATCATCAGTCCCGTATGGTTTGGAGCTTTTTACAGGTGCGTGTGTGTGTGTGTGTGTGTATAAATATATATATGCACACACACACGTACGTACACACACACACACACATATATATATATTTATATTTTGTGAGATATTATTAATCAAGGGACACGTTTCTTACAGAAATCTCAGCATTTAAAGGATTGTCCGTTGGTGTTGTCAGTTGACGGCTTTACAGGCAAAGGCAATAATATTTTAGAGAAATAGCGAAGATGTTGTTTTTTTCTCCTCCCCCTGTTCAGGAGGCGGCTGTGAGGGCGGGAAACAATTTATGTATAAAAATACTATTAAAGCAGAAAATGTTACTATTGGTGTTTGTACAGTTCAGCTCTTGGAGTTCTGATGTTGGCCTTACTGTCCATTCCTCCTCTGTTGATGTTTTTTCAGTTGTATTCTGTACAAAAATATTTTGCAATAAATATGGAACTGTTTTCTAAGGACTACACGGCGCTGTGCTGTGCTTATTGTTTTTCCACCGTGTTCTGAGGTTGAT